ACAACTGCCAATGTCACTGATAATAAAGTTGACACCAAGAAGGATGCAAATGAATATCCGATCATTGTACAGTTATGCTTTTCATCTTCATCAGAAATAAATTTAATTATGTTATCTGGACTGCTGTTAGAAGGTGGAGATGGATTACTGACTTGTCTCGTGTGATGTGTTGACGTTGGGTGATGGTGTGAGTGGTGCGAGTGATGATGGTGAGTTGGACCTGAATTTCCTCTTGTTCTGGTGTGATTGGGAGGATGCAGTGGATTTACATGTAATTGTGGCATTTTTTTTGAGTTTCGAATAATGAGAATTTGCTTTCCATTTTAGTGTGGTTACTAATTATGATTATTAATTGAATTGTACGACAATCTTTCCTTATTGTTGATTTATAGCAACTTTAATTTTCAATTGAAAAATATTTGTAAACTAATTCAAAAAAGTGTTAGAAAGTATCAATTTTAATCTTATATTCTCCTTCTTGACCCATAGTCCAAACAACTGTATAAGGAGCTTCAATTTCTCCACCAGAACTTTACCCAATTTATAAATTGTTGATTCGTCAATTCTTTGAATAACATGTGAAGTCAATTGTGGATTTCTGGCGCCAACTTGTCCAAATAAAACATTTTGGAAGAAATCAGCAATAGCTTGAGGTCCATGGAAAGCTCCAAAACTTCCAAAATGAGTCAATTGACCATCATTGACCCTGATTCTTGTGAAATCTTTTCATTTTAAATAAATATTTTCACGCTCGTTTGTTGTTAGTCATTAAATTATTAGAACACGAAGATTAATATTAGTTGCTGGTATTCCACCTCATGTGTTTATTTAGTGTTTATTGGTCGAGAAATTCGATACATACCAATTACATTACTTGTTTAACTTTATTGGACTGAAATTGAATTTTTTTACTTCCTCATCATGGAATGATGTAACAACATCGGAAAAGATGTAGAAAATGTTTAGAACATTGAAGTATTAATAATTAAAGAATTAGAATGTATTTCACATTTAAACAAGTTGATGATTTATTTCATATTGTATGTACTCATAATTTTATAAATGATTTATTGAATGAAGCAGGTTGTAGTGAGAAGCAAATGGAGGCATTTTTTTTTGCCTACTTTTAAAATGTTAGACAATTTTAATGGTACACACCATTATTCGAAAGGTCAAACACTGTAGATTGTCAAGGAAGAAACCACGTGTTCGATTCTTGTCCAAGGACTTTGATTATGCTTGAAAATTAAAAATAAACGTGAGCGTGGCCAAGTACCTAACAATCATCCATTACTAAAATTAAAAATAATTGTGAGTTGTAATGAAAATCTAAAATAAGAGAATGTGAGTATAAAAACTCAGTTGCACCTTGTATGAACACCAACAAGCTGACACTCATGAAATTAATGATGACGATGATTTGTTTCCTTCGTTATGAAGATATCACCGATAATACTCACCAAGTTACATCCAATAACACTGCCTCAAGTCCCTCGATATTCTCACCACTCTCAACTATCCTCTATCAGGATGAAGTTACTGAGTTTCAAAATTAACACTCAATTCTGGAATCGGCAACCAACATTAATTCATATGCCATATGAAAATCAATTGCAAAACGTCTCACAAATTCAAAATCAACAAACCGCTCAACAAATGCCAATGTCATCTAGCATTAACATCTTGCCAAGCAAAAGCGAAATTCAAACAGTTCACAATGATTTCAAAATTATTTGTAGCAAAAATTCTTCTGAATTATGTTTTGAAATGCTAATTTATGGTAAACACAAACCTAAAAAAAGTAGAGATTTGACGTTGCTTGGAACTTCAACTATTACTTTTCCAAAAAAAGAAACAGCATATCGTGCAATCCATATCATCTCTCAATATCCCCAATGCAAAAACTACAAAGGAAGAATTTATTTAGAAATTCAAGGAAAGTTTTTTAGGCCACTCTGTCGTAATTTCGAATATAATGTAATTATCATCAACAAAAACGACTATGAAAACAGTGCAAGGGCAGAACTAAGAAAAAATATAACTGCATATGAAAATATCCAATACCAACCAATTTTGGAAACAACAGAACCAGTAACTATTCCAAGAAAGAGAAAGTGGGAATTTGTAAATCACACACCTTCAAAATAAATCGGTTAAAATTCCAGCCATGATCACTATTTCGAAACAATTCAATAGAATGTCAATTTGTCTGGAAAATATTACATGATATAATTTAATAAATGGTTGTCTATTTAATACTTGTTATATGCTTGATTGTAACTACAAATTTCTCTAAAGTTTGAGAGATTGGAAACAATTCTAGCTCCTCCAACTACGTCCATATCTTGTCCAACAATGCTGACCTTGATACCTGTTTTTCTGACAGAATAATCAGCCTTCTGTTCTCTAAAAGTAAATGATGGAGAGTATTCTTGTCCAAGATATTCCAAAATGTCCTTCTTAATTCTTTCTCTAAATCCTGTTAATGCTGAGAATCCACCTACAATTAAAATATTGTTTAGAATTTGATCTTTTTCAATATTGGAAAGAGATTGATTATTTCGAATTAAGGTGATTGATTTTTGGACATTTTCCCATACATGAGAGTAGAAAATTTCCGAAATATTGGCTCTTTCATTGATTGGTGAAACCATGTATGAAGTCCATTCGAAAGGTTCAAGGTTTTGTACAAATTCATTAAATTCTTTTTGATCTTGGCTCGGACTGCAAGGGGCAATTTTCAAAAATTCTGATACTTCCTCTCTGAAAGTCATTTCATAATAGCGCATATCTTCATTCATATTCCTATACTCCTCGTACATGTTAAACACATTCATATCCATACATGCAGTCTTAGACTCACAATCTATGACTGGTACACATGTCGATCCATTTGGTGTTGCACTAATAATTAAGGATGTTGGTTTTTGATAATACAATGCAAGTAGCTTGAACGAGTCCACAAAGTGAACTGCTGGAATACCTAAAGAAAACTATCAATGAAATTAAATATAATTTGCAATATAGAGAACTTACTGCAACCTGTTCCACCTTTTTCAAGTATTCCTTATCCCAGTGAGGAGGCACAGCCATAAGAAGAGGGTGTTCTTGTAAGTTAACTCTTAAATCTTCCTTATAGAGCTGATAAAGGAAAATTTTGAGCAGTTTCTTCTTGGGTACTCCTTTAGAGTTAAAGAACTTGTTCAATCTACAATGGTATTGAGCTTGAACAAATCTATCTCCTGTTATAACATCGTCAAATCCATAGGATGGTAAATAAAAGTGAGGATGATTAGGTTCACCGACAGCTGTCATTGATCTCCAATAGGCATTATTACTTGCTAATCCATACTTGTAAGTATGCTGCCCAAGATCTAAAAGTACAGCATTGAAAGATTTTTCCATATTTGATCTGCAAGAAAATGCATTATACCAATCGTGAGTATCTTTTTGAAGAAGATTGATAATTTCATTTTCCTTACTATGAAATTCAATCTTCTCTTCATTTGTAGGTTCATAATTTTCATCATATTCATATCTAATGACTCTATCAAGAATTGACTTTTCCATTGTTTCAGATCCCCACTTTTTTGAAAATCTTTGTTCCCACATGGTTTCATTTCTAGCAATTGAATTAATTTCAGAATTGATAGGAATGACACTCGTACAAACTTCTTCATCCGTTAAATAGTTAAATATGTGAACGAATACCTCTTCAGGAAGATTTTCTTCAATAAAACTCAATTTTCTATTTGATTTTCTTTGAATGGAGTGGGACAAGGATGTCTGCAAGTCCATAGCTTGGATATATTTGATGGTGGATTGAGTTAAATTACCTTGACGTTCCAACTCGTAGCTATCATCAATGAGGTTCTTTACTCGTTTGAATTCTTCACTATTTCTATAATCCATTCTATAAATGCTATCCTTATCAATTCTCTTGAAGATGATTTCACTTCTCACAACATACTTTGATCCATAGTATAGTTTTTGGCCGTCATGATAGAGATCATGGTTAAAAATAGCTTTAAATTATTATTTAGAATCATTAATCTATTCAACTTACCAACACTTCCTTCTGTTGGTTTGATGGATGCCAACTTTTTGAAATCAAAGGAAATACTATCATCCTCAATCTTCTCTCCAACCTTTTTCAGAAGGGTTGTAGCTGCAGAAGAGTCGCTCAAATAGACCAACACTGTGAAGATTGATTTTTCATTATCATTTCTAACGAATTGAGCATCAGTGTGAGGTTTAAAGAAAGTTCCACGACTATACTTGTTGAATCTCAATACTTCATTAATTCCACAAGGAACCCAACAACCATCATTATCAAAACCATAAGGTTTCACACCATCAATATCAGACTTTTTCAAGAATGGAACAATTCGAGACCAAATCATGTCCGCAAGTTTCTTACTCTTGACCAAAACTCTCTCACTATTACGATATTCCTTTGGATATTCCTTATCAATTTCTGCATATCCCAATCTTGATGTGGAATCAATCAAATCACTACATTCTGTTCGGGATAGTAAACTTCCAATATAAATACAACGATCTTGATTGATAATTGTTTCAACATCCTGGCTTTCCTTTTCCTCATTATCTTCCTCATAATCATTATCATAATCATCACCACTTTTCTCTTGATGTTCAATCGGTTTTTCCTTCAACAAGTGCACTGTCGTAATCTTTGAAGGAATTTGAATTGATTGTCCAGGAATCAACAAGTCCCTTCTCCTCCAAAACTTTGGTTCATCATCATCTTCTCTTCTTATTGTTGATGGTTGTTTTTTTACTTGATTTTCCTTCTCATCATCACCCGTATTTTCCATCATGATCAAGGCTTCGGAAATAAACCTTGCCCTTCCATATTCATTTGGATCAATACCTTCCTCGATAATCTCCTCAACAGTGTAGTTGTAATATTCCGCTTGCATTAGATTTTCAATGGCTTTTTCACGAGAGAGAGGAGGCTCCTCTTGATCCCAATCGAAGATTTTGTAGGGAGCATTGGCGAGACGACCTGTGGTGGAGAGAATCGGTTCCTGTTCATTCATTTTTTTTTGTAATGATGAAAAATCGTAAAATTTTTGGGTTTTTTTTAAAAAATTGAAAACTAGTTTTGTTTACTTTGTAAATATTTGACTAATCTCACAACGGCTGATGCTGGACGATCTCCTGCTCCATTATTGAAAAAAGAAGCAGTCACCCATCCACCAGGTTCAGAATGACTAATTACAGAAATGTTAAAAACAGATTTTCCAGAAATGGAAGATTTCAACTGTTCGAATCTCCAAGCAGTGACATGAACTGTTCCTCTAACACATGATGAATTTGTAGGTGCCTTCTTGTGTTCATAATCTGGAAAATCTAAAGGTGTTTGATTGCACATCCAAGTTACATTTTCCAACTTTGGATCTTGATAAATATTTCTAGAAATGACGAATTCTCTATTCGAAACTGCTTTGGATCCTACTGTGAAAACTCTATAATAAACATTAAAATCAGAATGATCACTTCCGTTCTTACAAGTTTCGTTACAATTCTTTTCAATCTTGTCATGAATTTTTACACCTGATACAAATTCTTCATCCCACAACTTTCGTTCACTTTCCTCATCCAAATACTTGATCAAATCTCTTGAATTTTTGGCAATACTTTCTGGAATCTCCACATTCTTCATTTCTCCCATCCAAATCCAATACGAATGTTTCTTCTTGTTAATGAAATACTGAGCTTGTTCAGGTGTAGTTTTGTAATTGACCCAACCATTTGTTTGATCGTTGATTTCTTGATAATAATCAAGTGCTTGTTGAAAGGCAGAATCAAGAGCTGTCAGATAGTGTTTGCAGAGATTTTGAAGTGTTGACATTTTTTTTGTAATTGAGTTTCGAATAAAGAATCCTTGAAGCGGGATATTTTGAACCAAAAGGATGATCAAACAACGGAATAGCACTACGCACTAGGAGGAAGTACGATTAAACAATTTAATATATTGAAATTTTTCGTTTTTTTATAAAACAGAATTGTAAATTATTGTAAAGTGTTCATTCAAGATTATGAACATGAAATTATAGGAAATTGCTTATAAATAGAAAGAATGTTAGTCCAACTAATAACACCGTGTTTAATTCAACAAATTCAAGCTTCAAAAAAAATGATTTCACATCAAGAAGATGATTTGGACGAAACTTCCGTTCAACTCATTCTCGATCAAACTTTCAAGAGTTTTCTCCTCCGATCAGTTTTCCAACAATCATCACACGAACTACAAACCATGAAATACACAAAGATTTTGGCGTTTTCTCTCACTAGAATATATGGACCCAAGTATTTGATGAAGAAAATTCCACAAGATTTGATAACGGATCGAATTTTTATAAAGGAATGTTTGGGTCAATTTGGGTTGTTTATTAGAGAAATGCCAGTTGAGTTTAAAGATGATTTTGAGTTTGGGTTGGCTGCTGTGAAGAGTGAGGGTGATTCGTATAGATTTTTGAGTGAAAAATTAAAGAAGAATCGAATAGTTGCATTGAAAGCTTTGGAAAGTGGTGGAGGAGAATTAGTTAAGGAAATATTCGAAATGAATGAAGAGTTTTGTAGGGATGAGCAGATGATTTATGAGGCAGTGAAGATTAAACCTGTAAATTTGACATTTGCTCATGAAGATTTGAGACGAAACTTTGATTTTGCTTTGAAATGTGTAAAACTAAATGGAAACTGCATTAGATTTGTGGATGTTTCATTGAAAACTAATGAAGAATTAGTCACTAGAGCTGTATTGAAAGAACCTTCCATTCTGGAAATTACTCCTCTAGTGAAGGAAGTGAATTTCGTATTGAATTGCATCAAGAAGAAAGTTTATCCGAAATTTCTAAAATATCTGAAAGCTCACAATAATAATGAACTCATCGTCACTGAACTGGTCAAGAAAAATGGGTTAGAATTAGAATATGCTCATGATTCCATCAAGAGTTTCAACGAAACAATTGTAATGATCGCAGTCAACCAAGACGGACGAGCGTTAGAGTTTGTTAAACCTCCTCTTCTAGACAGCGAGCTCATTAATTTAACAGCTATTAGAAACCACCCTCTTGCTTTAGAATTTACTCTTGAGAAATTCAAATCAGATTATGATATTGTAAAAAGTGCAGTTGACCAAAATCTAGATGCTTTGAAATTTGCTTCTCTTCAAGTTCAACAACAACTGACAACTAATCTTCCACAACAAGTAGATAATGAACAAGATATTTGGATTCCACGTGTTGGAATTGATTTTTGGATGAGAAAACACCAATCGATTGGTTCGTCAAAGGAAGTTATTTATGGAAAAATTAGAAACTTGACGAAATTTCATTCATTGAGATATGAAGAGTTAGAAAAAGCAAGATGTGATGAAGATATCATGTTGGAAGCAATCAAGAACGATGACGACTTTGCCATTTCCTTAATTGAATCAGATTATTCGACTAACGAGGCATTTATAAGAAAGGCTATTCGAATCAATAAGAAATGCCTAAAATATGCTAAAAACTTTCTCTACATGCGAGATTTCATATTAGATACTTGTTCCATTTATTCTATCAAGGATTTTGACAATGTGAAAGAATAATCTTAAGGTAGGATTACAGTTTACAAAATAGGAAATATTTTCCAACCTTCAAGTAACAGTTAAAGGATGGACCAGTATCCTCCACAACAACAAATTGGATTCTTCCTGTCAACCTTTGCAAATTTCTACTTGAAAAAAAATGTCAAAACTCACTTTTATCATTGTTGCGTTCCTATTCTTGACAGTATGCATTTCTGCTCAGAATATTAACAATATTTTCCCTCTGATTAGTTCTCTTGATGAAGAAGATAAGTTAGGACTCAGAGGAGTTGCTTACAATATTTCACAAGTAAGTTTTAACACATCTGTCATTAATCTAACACGTCAAATTAGCCAATTGTGCATTTTCCAACAATTCTTCAAGGAGCACGTGTTGCAATTATGGCATCACATTGTTTTGAAGAGGTAGATTTAACATTCCCATACATTTATTTGACAAGCAGAGGTGCAACTGTCGACATTGTTGGACCAAGTTGGACAGTTGACAGAAAAATAGTTTCATGTCAATATGTTCGTGCAAACAGAGTTGTTTCTATCAACAAGACATTCAAGGAAGCATACCTTTTGCAATATGATGCCTTATTTATTGCAGGAGGAGCTTGGTCAACTGCCACAATGAGAACTGACAGCGATGCTATTTCTCTAATTCAAAAAACATACAATTATGGAAACATGATTGGCACAATTGACATGTCTTCTTCATTATTGATCAATGCTGGATTGATTAAGGGAAAGAAAGTGACAGGAGCACCTGCCATACGTCAAGATTTGGAAAATGCTGGAGCTGAATACAGAGATTCAACAGTTGTCAGATCTGATTTGTTTATTTTTTCTGGTAGAGCACCTGAAGATATTGCAGAATTGACAGAAGCAATTGCTGAGTGTATTGTTGGACGTCATTAATTTGTGAAATAATTAAAAAATTTTATTGAAAAATTGTTTACAAAAATTGTAAAAAATTGCAAGAATTGAAAACTTCCTTTATATGAACTCTTTGTATAAACTACAATGTAAATACTAATTGTTATTCGAATCTAACTGATTTTTCGCTTAATCTGAAAATGGAAATTTGAAAGGTGCTGACAAGAAATCATAAAACTAATCATTCAACATTTTAAATCTATCAATAAATCTCATCTCAAAAAAAATGGTCAAGATTAATCAAATAACACCTAATCTTTCCGAAACTCAAGAAACTCAAGAAACTCAAAATATTCCTTCATCATTATTCGAAACTCAAGAAACTAATCATGAACCCTACCAATTCTTTAGCTCTATCAAATTTTGTATCATTCTACTACTTTCCCTGCTCGTTATATCAAGTATTCTCGTCCTGTCACTTGTCTGGATGAGTTCTTTACTTCCGAATGCCATCAAAGGAACGATTGGTCAAAGGGAAGCTCAATTTTCTGATATAGTTTCGTCTGTTACCAAGTCAGTGGTCGAAGCAACGATTTCCTTGGATGTAATGAAAGGACAATTGTTATATTTATTAGATTTTCAAAATTCGAAACAAATCGAACAAGTCACTTATCAATCATTCTTATCTGAATGGAAAATGAGAAAGGAATTTGTGGTTACGGTGTATATAGGAGAGCCTAGTGGAAATGCTTTGGGAATTTTCTATTCTGGCACGTCAGTCAATTGGTTAAACATGTCATTGGTAGCTCAGTATTTTTATGAATGTGATTCTGATTTGGAAAAATATCCGTATTGTAAAAGGAGATTGGATAATCAACCTACAAGTGTAATACCTGCTGTCGATCTGTCAGATTTAACTGACAGCTGTAATGCCAATCCAAATCAATTAGTTTTTTCGAGAAGTTATGTAGATGTCACAACGCCAAACATTGACACGTTCTTTACCTTGTTATATTGCTATTCCTTTAACAAATCGAAGGATAATTCATTTGATTATTATCTGGGATTTGACATGACTGTCAGTGGATTTTCTGACATTTTAATTTCCAAAATTGGATCAATTGATGGATCGAGGAGTTTTATTTTTGAAACTGATAAGCAATATTTCGTAGCTGGTATGTTTAATTTTTCAACTTTCTTATTGAAATTTTTGTAACAGTTGACAGAAAAGATTTAAAAATTACAGAAATTAATTCTGACAGCTCTGTCAAGAGAAATACTATTTTTACAATCAAAGATGACAAGATTAATCAGTTATCTCATAGAATTTTGGAAGAAACTCGAAATAACTTTAAAAGTTTACCCTGCAACAATGCAATCACAATCGAACATTTGGACGATTTCGTTTACATTAATCGATTCTGTGCCGAAACTGGAGTGGATTGGATTTTTGTACTTTCAATACCTCAATGGAACTTTATTGGATCTTTGGTAATTGGATTAATAGTTTCAATCATTGGAACTTGTTTAATAATTTGCATTGCAGTTTCACTTTCCATTTTTGTTTCTGTAAAAATTGTAAAACCATTCCACAATTTAATTGAACAATTTCAGGCAGTTTCGAGAATGGATATGGAAAGTTTGGATATTAAAACGAGTAAATTCTCAGAGGTGAGAACATTACAAAAGCAATTCGTTCAAATGACGAATCAGATTCGTCTGTTTCGTTCGTTTATTCCACAACACTTGTTGAATCAAGTGGAAAAGATGGAAATTATGAAGAAATCAAGAGATTTGAAAGTAAGCGCTGAACACGACTCAGTGGCTGTCAATCCTTCACTTATGGACTCGATGAGGACATCAATCAGAAGCACTGTTAATTTATTTAAAGGACAGCTGACATCAAAGCAATTATTTTCGTTATATTTGGATAAGAAACATGTAACTATTGTTTGTGTATTGATAGATGAGTTCTCAGAGCTGATATCTCAAATGCCTCCTTCAGAAAGTATCCATTTATTGACAGATATTTTCGACCAATTGACATGTGTCACTAAAATTCAAGGTGGCTTGTTAGGACATTTTGAAAATGATTCAATTTCCATCACTTTTAACACAGCAGCTAACCACCCTAAACACCAGGAGAAGGGAGTTCAAGCAGCCAGGTCAATTATTGAAAAACTAAAAATTACTCGAGATAAGAAATGGTTAATGGCTTCCAACAAGTTAATTAGAAATGATAGCTTCAAGAATCTAATAGAAAATATCAGATTTAGAGTAGCTGTTACTACGCAGGAAGTGCTGTGTGGAAATATAGGAACCAATGATGTGAAAAATTTCACTCTCATCACCAATGCTCGTTGGAGTCTTTCAAAAATGTTACAATTGACCAAATATTATAATTTAGAAATTCTAATTAGCAGTGAAGTGCACAAAGCAGTTGAGATATTATATCATACAAGATTCATTGCTGAAATTCAATCATTGATGGTTGATGAGTATAGCTCTCTATTGCCACACAGCTCTGAATTATTGGAAAACGATTTGACATTGAAATTCGAACAGAAAGTATACGAATTGGGTGATTCTACGCAACATGCAGCAGATGAATGGTTATATGAATTGAGAGAACAGGAAAGGAAGCAAAAATGGAAGATTTATAATGAGGCATGCTCTCTATTCTTTAAAAATGATATCGAGAAGGCTCTTACATTATTCGAAACTTTTAAAAGGGATAATCCTGAAGATATAGTTGTGAAACAAATGGTATCTCATTGTAAAGAGATATTGGGAATCTATTAGAGAAGAGAATCAGTAAAAATATCTCTCCATTCTGAATCAAATTCTTCCTGAGGTGTTGTTGTCATTTGCTTTGGCATTTGTTGATTCAATTCATTGAGGTAGGTCAGTACAGATGACAAAACAGGATCTTGTTGGTCTGGGAACTGATCGCCCTGACTTATCCATGATTGGCAATGATTATCCAAAGTAATTGCTAAATTTCTTCGCTGTCTATGTCTTTCCAACATTTCCTCCATTTCTTTCATCATTCCACTGCATTCATTGCGAACACGTACGTATTTCTTGGTATGAATTTTCATTGCTTTGAGATTCTTTTCCAAAATTGAAAAATAGTCAACATTCAATCCCTTTCCGTTGGATGTTTTCAATGTTGCATTATTCGTTCTCTTTCCTTCTTCAATATCTTTACAAATATCCAAATGGAATCGTGAGGCAGTCTTGATACTAATTGAAACATCTCCATTAGCATATGTGAAAACATCATGATCTGCCAATAAGGTAATTCTGAGTGCCACCTCTTCAGCCATCTGTTTGGCATGCTCTGGAACCTTTAAAAGGAATAAAAGCTTAAAGCCATTCATTACCATTAATCTCAAAACTATTTGTCCAGTGAAAAATAGAGGGGAGTGGCAATCTGTCATCTTTTTCATTAGCTCTGTTCTGTATTGAGTAGTGACTGCAAAAGAAAAATCAATCACTTGTCTGAAAAGTAAGAAATTCTGTGGAGTAACGTTTGCTGATTGTAAATACTCTAATGTATTTGGGAGAACTATATTTTCCAACTTGAGATTTGATGTAATTTCAAATACATTTGGCATGTTTTTGAAAAATACTGCAAATTCATTGATAGAATCTCCATAATACCCAACTGAGAAGACTTTCCTCTTGACTAGATTTTTTTGAATAATATCTGTCATGTTAGGGAATTCTAAACAATAAAAATCAGCAAATCTAACATAATATCTTGCTTTTTGAAGCACGCCACTTCCATTATAATAAATACAGAGATGGAATGTGGAGCAAGCCCAATAGAAATTCAAATAATATTCAATTGATAATTTTGCAATTTCAACTTCACATAGTTTAGCAATTCCATCTGATGTTTCTGTATTTGCCAATAATTGATGACCTAGTGCCAGTACTGACAAGTAAAATGCATATATACATTTCAATTCTCCAATGCTTTCAATGAATTCATTTGGAGCAAAATGAATCTGATCAATGTTCACCTCATTTTCAAAATAAATCAAAAAGTTATTAATGAAATACTCCAACTTGGCCTTTCTAATGAATGGATGTCCAGCACAAATAAAAGTAAAGTACAATTCCACTAAATTCACTACTCTCAATGAATATAGTTGATTACTTTGAATTGTTGAGCTAGATCCACTCTGAGATTTGTTTGCAGCAGAAGGACTTTCTTGATGAATAACAGTGGTCGTGGCATCATCCTCTTGTTGAACAATATCAAGTTTCTTCTTTTTGTGTGGGTAAGCTAATGACCCTTTTCCTCTTTTCTTTGGATTTTCATACTAATATTTCTTATAGAATGGAAACAATTGAACTAATTACTTACTATACAAGTGGCTCCTTTAGCTACACATTTGGCACAACTAGGCAATTGTTTATCGCACTTTTTGTGTACCTTTCTGCAGTTAATACACGAAATTGGGTGAAACTGTGATGATTCTTCTCCAGTTGCATTATTCGAAACTTGAAAAGAGCTAGTTGCTTCATTACTATTCGTAGAAGATGAAGAAGAAAGTACTTGTGGTGCACTGCTACTACCAATGTTATTATTCATATTCGTATTACTACTATTCGAAACTACACTTGCTCTTCTGCCAAGATTTACATTATTATTACTATTATTTGTTGACATTTGACTAATGAACATGTTATTACTACTACTCGACATTATATTATTATTACTACCCATTGAAAGTAAATCACTAAAGGAAGGAATGACTAACTGTTGTTGTTGATTTTGTTGAAGGCTATTTTGATTGACCGAAAATTGATTCATCAAATTATTAGCATTCCAATTATTATTATTATTATTACTATTATTCAGTATGCTGTTAGTAGTATTATTGTTATTGTTGTTTCTCATAGAATGTTGTTGTTGATGTAATTGTTCATTTTTCGATATCATCTGGGAAAGGGATGATGAAAAGAAGGGCGAATCCATGATGATGATTGTGTTTTCTCAAAGGTTTGGAAGAGTTTGATGTTGTTGCTTTTTTTTTCGGTGTTATTGATGGATTATTGCGTCCAATAAGCGCGAGGAAGCAGAAACAATTATTACTTTCCATTCTTGAAATTTGAACGCTTATTTACAATTTATTGAATTTATTGGTGTTCATCCTTAATGGAACTTGAATAATTGAATCATGATAATTGTAAATAAATTATTGATGATGAACTTTAGGGGCATCAGATTTAATTTCAAAATCTAAAAAAAATCAATATCTTAATCATCCATATTGTTATTATTTTCATAGTGTAAATATATATTCAGAGAGATAATATGGTAGTATTGAAAAGTTCTGATGATACTAGTGCACCAGGTGATGATGTAAAGTTTCAACAAATTGTTGTAGATAATAAGGCATATCATCATAAATTGAAGGATGTTTGTCCCGAAGTGATTCATTATGCACCTTCATCTCATGGAAGAAGTGCATTTGTATTGAGCAGCAAGCAACACTTGGAGGGTATTGTAGATTTGGAAAGTAGCAGTGGAGCTCCTATTGAGAATATTGTTTGTTGCTTGGGAGGAATTTCTCTGCATAGTGCTCATACCTATTGTTATTATCAATTGTCAAAACGTATTTTGGAAATGGATAAGGATTACGTTGGGGAATGTTTGAATGAGGAAAGAAATCCAACCACCGAACATACATCACGAGGATTCCATGATGATAATTTGGCCATATTGAGATATGAGGCCTACGGAAGAGGAAAATCGTCAAATCCAAATCATGATCAAAATAGAGAACTCTTTGTTGGACAATTGAAAGAATTGTTGGACTATGTATTGAGTAAACCTGTTGTAAAGAAGAATTGTAAAATAACAGTGTTGGGGTTCAGTATGGGAGGTTGTTTGGCAACTCAATTCACACACACTCATCCAGATATGGTGGATGCCTTGATTCTCTTCTCACCAGCAGGAGGTGTATGGAAATTACCAACAGGAGCTGGTCTCATCAAGTTACCATTCTTGGGAAGTCTCTTGTATAATGCTGTTGATTCCTCTCAAACTTATGAGCAAAAGATGGAAGTCGACTTGTTTGATATGAAGAATGACATTACCCAGCAGAGATTAAAGTTTGCTCTCGAGATGAAGGAACAAGAAGATCATGATGTTCTCACAAAGAGCTTTTTGAATTCCTACAAGTAAGTTTTGTTGTTCCTATTACCATAACCATAATAACTATTTTCATAATAATAACATGCTGATAATAGACACTTTCCATTGAATGATAGTAAGAATGAAATTGAACATGTTGCCTCCATGAACAAGAATACTCTCATCATTTGGGCCATGTTTGATACTACTGTACCATCCGATGAATGTTTCCCACAATTCCACACTCCCTTCTCCAAGAATGATAAGGCCCAATACGTTCTCCTCAACAATACTAAACACTTGTTCTTTATGGAGAGAGAGGAAGATACTGCTCGTATAGTTCACAACTTTATCAGAAGAGATTGTGAAGTTTACCGTCCACTTTTGCATCAAGTTACTCCTCAAGAGTTGAAGAAGGAGATTTGTAGTGCTGATGATTTGAAAAAGTATGAATTCTTCCACTCCAATCAAGATTACAAGCAATATATTGTTTAAATAATAGTTATTTGTTATTATAAATATTAACTTGTAGCTATTGTTGTTGTTATGATTATGAATATCAAGTAGAGTCTAATCAAAGTCATCATGATGGACATTCACTATTACTTCCACATGTCCTTTTGTTATTAAAATTAGCAACATTAATTAAAATTCATGGTGTTATTCTTCCTTGTTGTTGTACTACTAATTCAACAGAAAAAGTCTCAGACACAATAACAACCTTCCTCTAGCCAATCATGATCAACACAACAAAATGATTGACTTTATCAATGCGACAAGTGAGCGAAATATTTTTTTTAAAATTGATTGGAAATTTTTTTTTTAAAATTGAATTTGAAAAAAAACTTTCAACATCCACCTCGGAAGGAGTTTCATCATCAATTTTGCAATTTTTTTAATATTTCATCATCATCATTATCGGAATGTCTTGGTTTAAGAGAGAAGAAAAAGGACCATTGGAAGATATGTTCCAACTCCACACTATTAATTCATCACCATGTTATGTTCCTTTAGCCGACTATAGAATGGCTCTCAGTGCTCAAAATATGGAATTTTCAGCTAAATTATTTAAAACAGGATATTATTTTAGTTGTTTGAACAAGTATTTTAATAGATTTGATATGTATACAGCTTCGGAAAAGAGACAAGTTGCTAATGAGCCTTGTTATACGGAATTTGATGCTGTTCATGATATGCTCCAACAAAAACAAGCAAGAGCATTGGCTGCTGGTATGCAAGCCTCTGGTAAGAGAAGAGCTCCTGTTGATAAGCAAGCTGAAGCTGATTTGAAAAAGAAAACTGAAGAAGAAACGGAATTATATAATAGAGTAAATAATAAGAATGCTGAATGTATGCAAACTAGAGTTGTTAGACATATTATTGAAGAAAAGATTAAGAATGCTACTAGTGGAAAACTCTTTGATAATTTACCAAGGTTTGTGTTGGATCTATTTGTTGTTTATTTAATTATTTAATTATTTAATTTTTATTTAATATTAATTATTTAAATATAATTAAATTTATTATTATATTACTTGGAAAATAGTGATTGGAAGGGTAAATTCAATACATTGGCAGCTAACTCGGCAAATGCTGCTGAATCTGAAGAGGAAAAGAAGAAAATTTTGGAAGATAAATTAAATCCATGTCTCAAATATCAAGCTCAAGCAACAATTGAACCAAATAATGTAAATATAACAAAGGATACATTTAAGGAAATGGTAAAAACATACAAATACGAACATTGTCAATCATCATTATTGTGTGCCAAGGCCATGAATTCATGTTTGAAGAAAATGGGAAGAGGAAATCTCAATAATGCTCAAAATCAACATTTTGTGCAATGTTTTAATGATAGAGAAGTTATGGATTGCATTGCAAAGATATAAAATCATTTCACTTTCAATTCAATTATATTGTTGAAATTATAATTTCAAAATATCAAAAACAATTACAATTTTTAGAGTTATTGTAAATTGGTAACTGCACTATCCTCTTTGAATTTGTCGAGTAACGATAGTAACAATGGATAGTGCACATTCTTTAATAACCAAATTTACTATTTATTAATTATTTGGCATGTGAAATATAAATTGGTTGAGACCTAATTGACTGGTGGATATAAAAGATAAAGGGATGTTATGATCTTTTGAGGGTTAAATACCAAATTTGTGTCACCTTTCATAGATTTACAAATAACTTTCAAAAGGATTTGGTAAGAACCTACACAAGATAGTGACACTTCGCATGTGGCTATCATGATCCTTACATTATCATTTTGCTACCTTTTAACACTTCAAAAAAATGAAACTAATCTCAGTCATCTTTCTCATTCTCTTTCTTTCCACATACACAGTCCACGGTTTAGCGGATCCTCTCTTTGTCCAAGCCATTGACGCAGCAACTTTCAAATATATTAGAACTACAGAGTGGGCAAACACATTAGCAAAGGCCTTTCTCCCAACTTTATTGCCAGACTGTTCAAGTGAGCCAACCTTTCCATCTTACTTTGCTTTTAACAAATCTGTTATCAATTATTGTTATGACAAGGAGGCAGGAGAACCTTGGGTGACCTATCACTTGTCAGCCTCAAAGATGTTGACTAGTACTTTGAATGAACAATACAAGTTAAATCTGACCTATGTGATTACTACCTATGATACATCTACAGGATATTTCTCATCATTGAATGAAAGAGTTCAAAGTGGAGAATGTGATGTTGCTATTGCTGCCACTAATCATAACGCTGACAGAGCTAAAGTTGTTCATTTCCAATGTAAGTTTAGTGAATTATGATTTTTTCAATTTACAACGATAATTAAGGTCCATATGGAATGGGTTCAAAGAGTTTCTTGAGAAATACCTATCAAAATGATACAACGATTACTGATGTGTCGCAATTAGACACTACCAAGTATACTGTAGTTGTTCCAACAGGTACAACCTATGAAGCTTGGTTATTAGCCAATTTTAAGAATGCAAGAATTGTTAAAATTCCAGGATATGATGAAGGATGGGACATGATTTTGAATAATACTGCACATGCCTTTTTTGGTGATTTCTTTGATACTACTAGATGGTTAGGTCAACATAAGGCCAACTGTAGTGGATGTTATATTAAAATGTTTGGAGATGTGCAAAATTTTGGAACCTTTACTCAAATACCAGCTGTCAGTTTTGCAGTTCAACAAATTTGGAATGCAATGTTGATTAGTGTCATGATGTTACTCATTTCAATTTTACATTAAAATTTTATTCATTCATTCTATAATATTGAGTTGATTGATTACCTTGTTCAATATCTAAACCTACAGCACTTGGAGTATTTGAAATAATTTGTTCGCTTTGAATTGACATTTGAGAGGAGACAGATGGGAATTGTTTGTTAGACATAGTTCTTTTAGGTTTCTTGGTCTTCTTCCATAAAATATAAACAACTGAAATGAAAATCAAAATTGCAACTATTCCACCAAATACTCCAATGAAAATATATGGATAAATTGGGCCATTATCTTCTGGAGTAATCTTGTCATCTGTAAATGAAGCGACAGATACAGAAAATGTAATATAACAAGTGTTGTCTGGTTGAGATTCATCAAGGTTGACTATTCTGAGATAGTAAGTGGCTTTGGAAAAACTTCTATGTTTCAATTCAATCGATTTAGAAGTGTCAGATGATGAAAATTCATATCGGTTGTCATACATTGTGGCATTTGGGAATGGAGTGCCATTTGATTGATAAACCACAACTTTGGAAGTGGAGCTACCTGAAATTTTGACATCTTTCAATTTCAAAATTTGAAATCCATCCAAAACTACTTGATAATGTGGTTGAATAGTTGAAGAAATTGGTTGATAATTAATAAATGTTCCATCCAAAAGATTTGTAGCCATTGTTGAATTATCAGTTGAATTTCCATTTTCAATAATTAATTTAGTTGCTTCCACATCAATTTCTGCCACAATTCCTACTTCTGTTGTGTCATAGATTGGTAATTCACTTGAGGCTGTACACGTGTAAGTTCCATACTCTGGACAAGTGACAGTAGTTGTTGAACTCGACCAAACTCCTTTAAATGATCCATCAACAGTTCTAAAAAATAATTTGACAGTATCTGGTTTGATGATTACCAACTTATCATCAATATCTCTTATGGCCTTCTTTCTATTATAGTAAAAAATCTTCTTTCCTCCAAACATTTGTTGATTCACATTCAAAATATAAAGTGTAGTATAATTAGAGTTCAATAATCCAGATACTACAGATTCCTTTTCATTGTACATTTCTACAGAGAAGGATTGGACCAATTCTGGTTTGTTCATTTCAATTTGTAAATACTGGGACGAATCTCTCAATTGATTTTTGAATAAGAAACTTCTTGGAAATTCTTCAACTTCGTACGTAGTCCCAAAAACAGCATCAATAGGTTTAGAATAACCTCCCAAAGCAAAAACTAATCTCTTCTTTCCAAGATAATTCTCAATAGATTCCACATTAAATTCCACACTTGATGGTTCTCCGAGAATTTTAGAGACATTTGATGGAACAATTGCTCTATCATAGTTTTCATTCAAAATTAATGGAATCATTGATTCGGGATTTGTGTTCATGAGTGGACTTGTCCACTGAATAGTAATGTACATGATACTTGTCAATTCTTCTTGTTCAATATCGGATACGGCAGTCAATCGAGCCAAATCCAACTCGTAAATGGCTAATAATTTCATACTTTCATATTTCAATTGTGAAGAATCAACAAAATTCGAACTGTTCAACACTCTATCAGTAACAATCAAATTTCTATCAAGCATTATTTGTCCACTAGACACGACAAGATCTTTTCTATACTGAATCGTGACACTCACTTGAGGCAGAGATAAATCCTTATAAAACAATTCTTCAGATAATGGTTCAATAGGATAGTAACGTCCAAACTCTACCGTATTAGCACACCACGTTCCCAATGTCATGAACAGCAGTCCAAATATCATCATCACCATCATCATCACGACAATATTACTTTTTAAAATATTCATTTTCTGTGTTGTGTGATGAGCAAAATTTTTTTTAATTTATATAAAAAACAACAAATTTTTGTTCCGATGATGAGAAAAATCAACTGAAACGGTTATTGTTGTTGAAAAATCTCAAGAGGTTAATGAGAGGGAGCTTGTTGGGTATTTTTTTTTGTTGTCACCTTCTAAAATTGTTCTATTGTAATCTTTTGATTTTCAGGTTTCGGCAACTTTCTCTCTTCAAAAAATATGAAAAGAGTGGGTGAGGGAGAATCACAACAAGATTTGAAGAAAGTTAAACTAGAAGAAACTGACCGAAAGTTGGTGTCCAAATATGAAGAAGCAGAAATTGAAAAATTGATAAATTGGAATGAGCAATTATTGGAAAATATCAAAAATAAGAAGCAAGAAATTAAAATTCATTCCGATTTATTTGATCAATTGATTAATGACATTTCCATAATGACAGCTAAGCATCCATTCACTAGATTTTATATTTTTTATTTAAATCGCCAAGAAGATTTGGACAATGCATGGGAATGGTGTGTGAAATCGATGGAAAATAATCATTTGAATGCAATCTTGAAGATTGGCTCCTTGTATTCTTCAGACAGTGATTACAAAAATTCTATGAAATGGTATTCGAAAGCTGCTGAATTAAATAGTGCAGAGTCTCAATATTGTATTGGAAATTTGTTTGCAAAGGGAAAGGGAGTTAAAAAAGATTATTCGAAAGCTTTAGAATGGTATATGAAAGCTGCTCAACAAGATCATCCAGCTTCTCTATGTGCTATTGGAAACTTTTATATGAAAGTTAACTATGATACTGCAAAAGCAGTGGAATACTATTCGAAAGCTGCTGAATTGAATTGCGTCAATGCCTTAATAGGTTTAGGGAATATTTATTCAGGAGCCGAAGATGATGACTATGATGATTATGTAAAATCATTGGAATATTTCATCATGGCATTTAATTGTGGACATTTTGCATCATTTAACAGAATTTTTGAAATTGTCAATGATTTTTTCACAGAAGAAGAGAAATTGAAATGGTATTCGAAAGTTTTAATTGAGAATTCCAAAGTCAAGATTTTGATTAATCCAATTGAAAATGTTGGAAGATTGATGTTTTCTAATAATGTGATGGAAAGTGTGAATGACATTTCAGTTACGGATGAGAAGGTTTTGATTCAATTTTCCAAAAATGAATTTTTATTCGAAAGTCAATTGTTGAAAAGATCAAATTTCTTGTCAACCATGTTGAGCTCTAATTGGAAAGAAAATTGTAAGAGAAACCAAGATGGTGTTTTGATAATTGACATGACAGGCATTGAAAAAAACATTATTTCTCAATCAGAAAAAGTTATTGAAATATTTGAATTATATTTGGAAAGTCTGAAAGTTAAACCATTAGATTTACAAGATTATTTTATTGGAAAGCCATTTGAAAGTTTAGAATTATTATACGAATTATGTTTATATTTAGGAGATGAAATGACAATTTCACAAATCTTGCAAGCATTGAATCCAGTTTATACTCTCTATTTCATGATGAAATATGAAAAGAGAGAACATTTGGAATTTGTTTGTGGAATCGTTTCAGATTTCGTTTCGAATAATTTTTCAAGTTCTCTCAAATCAATTCCAGAACATGTTTCAAAAATGGTATTATCATCAGAATATCTATCAGACGAAGTGAAAGATTCCTTGAAAGTTGCCACTAGTAACTATATTGAAATATCTCAAAACCAGTCAATTGTCTCATGTAATTTGGAGGCGCATGGCTCTGTATTTGAAGGAAGTTTTGATTGGAAGGACGAAAAGTGTCACGTTGGAGTAGAAAATGAAGGGGATAAATTATCAGTTACCTATTTTCCTTTCATTGATGATGACATTAAATTGAACTTTCTAATAATTGGAAATGAGGATAATGGCTCAATTGCATTAATTTCTAAGGAAGTACCTTATTGTTGGGAATTGAAATTGGCTTGGGAAATTACACATGGTAGTATGGTTGTTTATTTTAATGACCACTAATATTTTTAATTGTTAATTTTGTTACTGCTGTGCTGTCTATTTGTTGTTTCTCTTTTCATATTCTCTTATCTTAATGTTTCTTCCATTGTGTGATATTGGTTGCTTCAATTTTAAAGCAGCATCTTTCTGTTCTTTGGATTTGAATTGAATATAACCACATCCTTTGTGTTGTTCAGAATCTTGATTTTTGAATAATTTAACATAGGTAGCTCCATCAAATAATTCCTTAATTTCTCTCCATGTTGATGAATAGGATAGATTGGTAATAAATACACAAAGAGCAGGATTGAATTGATTCTTTCTAGTATTTCTGTTAGAACTTTTTTTTTGTGTGTGTGATTTATGGGGGTTTCTCTCAATATAGCTCTCTTCTTTGGAGTTGCCTTCTTGGCCTTCATCTGGAACATTTTGGGTTGATTGGTTGGATGGTAATTGAGAGGTTTGCCAATCGTAATGGCCACCATCAGTACTTGTTTCATGAACATCAGTAAGTTCAGCAGAAATCATTCTCTGTTGTTCAATGGCAGTGCCATAATGATGATATGTAGGCATGTGTTCTCTTTTGATCAGTGGGATGTAATGAGATTGATTGACAAATCCTAAAACAATTTCTTCTTCAAAGAAATGACCCAAAACAACATCATCTGTTCCTTCATCCTCATCAACAACTATAATTCTCACACTTAATACTTCAGATATAGCTCTTAGTGTGATATTATCTCCCCAATCATTTCCACGAACTTTACGAATGTATTGTTCAAATGGTTCATCAATATATTCTTGGTAATAATCACAATTTAGTTCAATGTGTTGAGCCACTTCCTCTCTCAAATTTCTATCTGGTTCATTGATCAATAGTAATACACTATCAAATTGACACTGGCCAGGTCTTGAAGTGAGATAATCACAATATTCCTTGATAGTGCTATATTCACGTGAATCAAACACTTCGTTCCAGTCTCTGTGTAGATTACTTGTCTCTTCAGTCGGTTCTAGAGCTTTCCACTTATTGGAGGAAAAGAACCTTTCGAATTTAAATGGTTGTGGCTTGGTTGTGTTATCTGTTTTCTTTCCACTTGGTTCCTTGTTTTGAATATTAGATCTTTCTTTTTTCAAATCAATATTGATAGCTGTATACTGTGAGGCACGTGTCACGAAAGAGTTAAAGTCCTTACTATATGGTTGTGGTAGTCCTTCTTTCTTTTTTGCTTCTCTCTCATTGAACATTTCTGAACGGTTGTACATGACATTTGTTGGGGATGAATGCATGAAAACAATTACTTCTGTCTTGGCAGCAATCAAATTGAAGATATCATTTCCCAACAAGATATTTTGGTTTTTCTTACAACAAAGCACTCTGATTTGTCTGAGGTTTGGAAACAATCTTAATTGAAGAACTAGCAGTTCAATCCATTCACTTCTTTCATTACTATAACTAATTCCTTCAAAAGTATGTTCACATGGTGTTTTGATTGCTTCAATAAAACAACATTCAGCTCCATAAATATTGAGACACTCATATTGGGAGGCCAACTGAGCATCATAGTAAGACGTTTCTCCCAAACCAGCCACTCCATATTGTAAAGCATGAAGAGATGGAGCATCATAAATGGTAACAATTTCAACATCTTTGACTGTATCTTCATTAAACTCTCTGCCATGGACAGAAGATCCAAACACAACAGGTTGAATGAATTCTACACCTCTTAGTTTCGAATACTTGGTTTTGAATTTTTCAACTAATTCAGCCAATTTCTTTTGGAAGGCATCATGTGTTGCTGGTGTGGTGTCACCAGCATTGGTTCTGGGAACGGTGATGTTTGGCTGTTGTTGGAGATATTTTGTTATTACGAGATTGTAAAGAGAACGAAGCCTATTTAATCCCTTGCCTGTTATCAAGTGGTTGACTTGACCATAACTACAAACGTGGTTTTGATTGCACAATATTTTAACTTTGTCATTTTCAAACCCCCATACTTGCTTGTTTTGCTTGTTTAGTGCAACTGCGCTGAAATCAGTAATACTGGTTGAACCATTACTCAAGCTACCATCTGGAAACAATTGAGCAACTGTGTTACCAAGTTTTATCTCTACCACAATCCGTGGAGCTTGTTGTGGAAACATTTTTTATGAGACTTGATAGTAGAATTTTCACAATGACACGAAATTCATGATATGTGATCCCAAAACGATTTTTATAACTTATCCGGTAGGTAAATCCAAAATGAAAGGAACGCAATGTCAGATATTTTGAGCTCTCTTAGTGAATTCTTTTGTGTTTTTTCAATGTTGTGGTGATTCGTAATGTAATACAATAATAATAGACAGAAATTATACTTCATGGGTTTACGAGCTCGAATGACTCGAATGGTGTTTATTTCCACAAATTAGACACTTTCGGAGTTGTTTCAGTCACAATCACATAACCGTCTCCTATCAAACTAATCTTTTTCATATTATTAACGAGATTAAACATGCTTCAATTCAATTGTAGAACTGCTTTCTTGTGTTTGCATGTATGGATTTCTTGTATTATTCTTATCTTTACCCAGTTTCTTTACTACAAACCATACAATTACTGCAATTAGTAGGGCAGTAAGTGGAATGAGGACTAGTAACAATAATAACCACATTAATGGATTGCTCGTTGGAGGTTTTTTGACAATTATATTTGAATTTGATGAAGAGGAGGTTGATACATGATTTTCAATGGATTTGTATTCAAGAATTACAAGATTATATCCTAATGAAGAGCATTCACAAGTTGCTATTTGGTTATTCTTGATAGAAATGGAACAATCAGTTTCCAATGATGCTGATCCAATGTTGGCACAAACATAAGCTGCCTGACTGTCGTATTGTTTCATCTCAATGTCGAATAAGTATTTCGAATAAGATTGAGGTGAAGGATCAAGTTGTAAACTATTCGCAACTGAATTGATTGATATTATCTTTCCAGGTTGATTTGCAATTGCAATGGTGTCTGTATTTTTTTGAATATTCCATCTGTACTTGATTGGTGACTTGATTGAATTAGTTTTCAAGAAAGATGAAATGTTCCATGGCAACGTGATATTCACCATCTCACTTTCGAATTTCATTCCATTCATTTGATTCTTGAAATGTTTGTTTAAAACTGTCAAATAACTGTTAGTTTCAAATTTAAATGGTGTTTGACCAATTAAAACATTTCTCAATAAAACTTGTCCTAATAATTCAACAGTTTGCAATAATTTTTCACCATCCATTAAATTTTCTTGCAAGTTCAAAATATTTTGCAAGTTGACCAAATCTCCTCTAGACAGAACAAAGGCAGTACTTGATTGAACTGATACCAAAGCATCTCTCAATAAAATTAAACTAGAGTTGACCATTTGGTTAGAAAGATATTCAGAATTTTGTGAAATTGAATTCAATCCAAATAATAAATTTGTAATGTAATTTCTATTTGTTGATTCTGAAGCGGTTGTCATGATTTGACTTGAACCCATAAAATCATTCAATAAATCTCTAATTAAAGATTGAATAAATTCAAAATCTTCAGTGGACCATTTACAATTTCTTGTTGTAAATCCAAAATTACAAACACATTTTCCATCCTTAAATTGTCCATTTCCATTACAAAAATCTCTCTTTGAACTTATACTGTTAAATAATAAATTCATTGTTCTAGAAATGGTTGCAGTATTGAAAACACTTCGTTGATAATCACCAACAGGAGCCAATGTTGCTATTTGGTTCCAAGAAGACGTTAATGCTTTGATTTCTGCTAAACTTTTGACAACTGGAAGAGAAATGGTAACTTGTTTGGTTGTTATGGAGCTAGATCCTGTCAATGAATCAATTACCTTGACATAAAGATCTAATTTGTTTCCAGAATTTGGCATTGGAAGTTTTTGATATAATTCTTCTGTTTTAGAAAGTGGAAAGTTGGATTTTGAAAAGTCATCAATAAAACCATATTCAAAAGTATTACTATTCTGATCGTTTTGACATTTTGGACAATTGAAAGTAAATATTGTTGTCATTGCAATACCACTCAAAGGTGACACTTGACAGTCACATGGTTTTGGTGATTTGTTAATTACAAATGAATGATTCAATGAAGCAGACAACAAAGAATCAACATTAGTAACTTTGAAAGAAATTTGATAAGTAGAACCTTCTGTCAAAGAAGATGTGTCCAAAATTAATTCATCAGACTCGGAAAGTTGCATTCTCATATTACTTGTCAAATCTGAAGGAATAGATTGTCCATTCATTGTCCATTCTCTAATAATATTGTTACTTGCACTCGAAACAATACTTTGTACGCTTAATAAAGTTCCCTTATTCAGTTTTGATGGTGGTGAGTTAGCTGGTGTGATTGAAGGTGGAATTTGTGTAGGAGATTCTGGGAATAAAATGGAGAGAGTTGAAGTGGAATATCTGGAAACCTTACTTGACCTTAATGAAATGTCGAATTGAGAAGCACCGTTCACTAATGATTTTGTAATTGTTAATGTATTATTCTTGATAGATGATAGATATTGTAAGATGTTGTCATTGTTATTCAAATTATTGGTGGACCATTCTCTGTCGAATGGAATAGTTTGCAAATCAGAATCAATTTCTTCGATCTCAATTATTACTTGGTCAATTGTTGATTCAATTTGGATCAAGTTAACAACTAGTGGTCTAGCTGTCATTTGGATATTAAGATTGACTGATGAAATTTGATCTTCTTTGCCTTTCAAATATGATGAAACTTTAACTTGATGTGTTAACTGTGTCAAATCATTAAATTTAACAATCTTCAAGTTATTGTAAGAGTCAACTTGATATTCCATTCCAGTTCCACTCAAATATTCCCATTTTACAATAATTTCAGATTTTGAAGGTAAACAAGAAGGTAATGTGATTAATTTTCTTACAATCAAAGGCAATGAGCTTGTTGAAAGTGAAAGGCTGTCACTTCCTTCAATAGAAATGACAGGTGTTGCATAATTCAATTTTTGGAATGTGACTTGCTTAGATGAGGATGTTTTCAAAATTTGGCTTGTAGTTGTCAATTTGAAAGTATGACTTCCAGCATTTATACTGTCATAGGTGATTGACAGTTTGCTTGAATTATTGTTTGGAAGTGTCATCATGTTGGAAGATACAATTTCCCATTTATAGGAAATTTGTTTTCCATCTGTGGAATAACTTTCACTTGCATCCAATAGAATATTTTCACAACTTGAATATGTTGTTTTTTGAGAAATTAAAATTGTTGGTGGAATGGGATTTTCAGCATTTCCAATTTTGAATGATTGATAATCATTTCCTAATTTGTTTCTATTAAACACATTTCTATTCAATAAAATTTCTTGATCAACTTGAATAGAATTATCAGTTCCCAATTCAATAATAAAATCATTGGATGTCTTATTAGAATATCTACAAACTACATTTGAACCAAATGAGGAAATACTTGAAGAATCTAATAAATTGTTACAATCAACATTTAAGGATGTGAAATGATTTGGAGAGGTCATTTGGAACAGTAATCCATTTCCTTCATTATT